TTTTTTTTGGAGAGAATGAGTAGTTCTCTTCTTTTATTTCATCATATATATATAGGAATACAAATTTAAACAGATTACATCAACTAACCGATCAAATCAGATCGCCCGAAATCCATGCATACACGTCGCATGGTGTTTTTCGTATCCTACCGTAAAACAACTTCACAGTGGATTTTCTTTTTTGAATTTAAACTCAACAGAAAAAAAAAACATTAAATTTAACACAAACCATAGAATTCTATCACATCACATTTACTATATATATATGTATGTATATTTACATATGTAAATTACTTTTTATATAAATTTTATATATATTTTTTACATATGTAAATTACTTTTTATATAAATTTTTAAAATTCTAAAATGACTTATTATTTAATTAATATGTATATATATATGGTAATTACCAAGAGTACTTTCAGTGTACGCACCCAAAGACCAATATGCACCCGTATATGTATATGTACGTAGATACATGCATATCAGATGATCATTTTCTAAGTAGCATGTCAACAATAATCAGAATAATTCCAGAGAGATTAATCAACCGGTGGTTATGATTAGTTATTGGACAGACTCCAATAGGATCTGTCCTGTAAAGATTTTCACAGTGCACAACTTTGTCAAAGCCTTCTCTAACCCGGTCTATGACGTCCCAATACGATGCCGCACCAGCCGACTTGTAAGCCTCCTGGTACTTGCCTAATGCTTCTTGATAATCAGATTTGCATCTCTCTAATCTCAGTTTGCCAACTCGATCGGTGGTTTTCTTAAGAAACTGAGGGATGCGATCATCATATGTTTCAGTGGCTTGCATAATGCTTAAGGACATGGAGATTAAGGCCATTCCCTTCATGTCTGCTATACGAGTTCGTGGATCTTCACCCAGAATTTGAACACAAGAAAGCTTGTCCACCGCTTGGTTGCAAATTTGATCGAGTGTGTTTCCATATATTTTAATCGATATTTTTCCATTTGTGAGACTGAAGAAGAGAAAGGTGGCAATGATCATAATTGACCATTTCAAACTACCTCTCATCTTCCCTAATCCTTTTTTTTCTTTCTTCTCTTTACAATTGAATTTGTATGCATAGATGTCATATATGTACACATGTATTAGCATTTTAGGGTAATACTTAATTAACTATTTACTAATAATGGGTTTAGGAAGAAAATTTCAGATGATGAAATAAGAAGTTAATATAAGAATATCAAGTATCATCTACAACCCAAAAAGGAAAAAAAAAGCAGTTTATATATAGCATCATGATATTTTTGTATAGAAAACTTCAATTTCGAAATAATAGTGTATAAAAATGGAAATTATTTTTACTAAAAATGTTATATAAATAATTAATTGCATAATGTTATAGAATAATATTAAAAATTATTGTTATCATTGAATTTATAATTATGTAAATTTCTATAATGTTAAATTGCTTATAATTATTTTAAGAAATATATAAGATAAAAGATTTATCAAATTAAGATATATTGTCATTTAGCCGTTGGAGATTTTCGTGATTTTCTTCCATAAATGTCTATCTTTTGCTCCTAAAATCTGATACTCGATTACTAAATATCTGCATTAAGTCATAAATTTTGGTATAATGTATCTTTAATTGTCATGTATATATATATACACACACACACATACATACGTATACCACTATGTATATCACTAATTTATTGTATATATTGATTATGCGTTTGTTAAGGGTGACTGTTACTGCTATCAATTTGAGTCAATGCAATTTTTTTAATCAAATTTACGTTATTGTACCATAAATATTTGCATTAATGAGTTTATATATTTATGTATATTGCATTTTTAATTATCTTACGCACGTCTACATATATATATCACTATATAATTATCACCAATTCATTGTAATGATTCTGCATTTGTTTGACATACGATAAAATCTGAGTCAATGCAGTTTTGGAAAGTTACTTTAATATTATACCATAAATAGCATGGCCTTTAGAAACAGATAATGCTACCTGTATATTTTTTTTGAAAATTTTTTTGCCAACATATAATAACATTTAATTCACATCTAAATATATGTATTAGAAACATTATAAACGTTAGAAATTATTAAAAAAATCAGCTTATAATTTTGGTTATTTATTAAGGATGAGGTTCAAAAATTTTCTATTTCAGTTAATATTAACCATCAGCCCTTTGATCAAATACATATTGTTTCAGCACTCAAGGTGTTACACCTGAACATACTCAAACGGAATTTGCTACTGATCAGGTCTACCGGCTGGCAGAGAAGATGAAGATGAAGATGAAGATGAAGATGAAGAGGAAGAGGAAGAGGAATTTGACTAGGTAGAGTGAAGTAAATTTTAATTATATATAACACATTATTAAATCAGTTCCGAGCGTTTATCACCTACTAAATTTTTACTTGATTAATCTAAATTTCAAATGGTCGAGAGTTGGATTAAGACTGTATGTAATTTCTGAAAATTTACTTTCATAACAGCCTCAATACAGAAATCACAAGGATTAAATCATAGAATTCTATAATATCAAATTTTATATAATACTTTTTGTTATTTTTATTTATGTAAACTCCACAGATAAGGGAATCAAGACACCCCAAATCCCCATCAACGTTTAAACATGCTCAGATACATACGTACGTGCAATATAATTGTATGATCAGCTCCCTTGTATCATTTTAACGATGATGGAAATAATTTCAGAAAGATTAATCATGTTCTGGTTTCGCTGGCTTAACGGAGAGGATCCAACAGGACTTGTCTTGTATCGATTTTCACACTGAGTTGTTTTATCTACGCCGTCTCTAGCCGAGTTAATGACGTCCGAATAAGACGCCGCACCGGCAGACCTGTAAGCCTCCTGGAACTTTACTAAAGCTGCTTCATAATCAGAGTTGCAGGTCTGTAATCTCTGTTTGGCAACTGGGTCAGTAGTGCCCGAAAGAAGTTCAGGGATGAGAGTAGTTACTTCGTTGATTTGAATAATACTCAAGGATATGGCGATTAAGGCCATCCCCTTCATGTCCGCGGTCCGAGTTCGTGGGTCTGAACCCAGAACACTATCGCAGAAGATCTCGTCTTTTGTCTGGACGCAGATTTGGTCCAGTGTTGCTTTGTCTATTTGAGTTGAAAATCTTCCATTAATGGGGTTGGAGAAGAGAAAGATGAACATTATCATAATTGACCACTTCAGACTACTGCCTCCCATCTTCGCTAATCTTTTTTGTTATAGTTTTTTTTTTTCGTTCCTTCTGTCTACAGTTGAATTAAGTCTGTACGTAGTAGAGGGTAGATATGGGTATATATATATATATATACATACATATAACATCTTATGATAATACTAAAAATATTTACTGACGATTTGATTACTAGGTATATAAGATGAAAGAACTTCAATACGTGGATAACATCATAATAACTTCTTGAAGATTTTGATTTTTTTAATTGTCATAATATTATATAAAAGTAGAAATTGTTTTCACTGAAAATTTTTATAATTCTGGTTAATTAATTAATTCTCATTTTTCCTGATATTCTTCCAAAGATGTCTATTTCTTCGTCCTAAAATCTGCTGCTTTATTTCCAGCAAAAGAAAAGAAAATCTACTACCCATATATTTATAAACAAATATTTTGCATTAATGGATTCATAAATTTTGGTAAACTATATTTTTTAATTATCATATTTAGATATATATATATATATGTATGTGTGTGTAGCTATGACTATGACTAACTTATTGTACTGTTAAAGTTATGAGTGTTGATACATAATATGATCAAATGTGAGTCAATGCAGTTACTGGAAGTTACTTCTTTGTACCATATATATTAAATAGCAAAAACAGATAAATTACCTATTTTTTTACTTGTGTTAAAACTTTTCTCAGTATATTAGCATCATGTAGTTGCGTATATAAATATAAAAATAATTAATCAACTCATAATTTTGCTTAGTTATAACTTACTTAATACCTTGTATTTCAAAGATTAATAATTTGTAAATCAAACAAAGTTGAGAGACAGAACATATAAAAACGTGATATGTAAAAACATAATCCTTGACTAATTGTTTTGTAATCTATTCTGAATTTTGACTTTCTGAAATACATACAAAAATATTAATAATTTAAATAATTAATGGTAATTTTATAATATAAAAAACTTATAATGCTAACGTCTATATGGAGATTCATAGTTTTTTCTTCTGTTTTTTTTTTTTTTTTTTCACAAAAAATATTTAGAGTAATTGATTCTTTAAAATAAAAATTTCTCTTTCAATACTCAACTGAATCTGTTCAAATAAGTAAGCCTGAATATATAATATTTTAAGTAAGATTTATTAGTTTATTATTCAATTATTGAGATTGTGTACAATTATTTTTAATACGGATGCTTAATTGTTATAGTAATAATTGTTAAAATTTGAAGATTTAACAATAAATCGTAAGATTTCTTGTCTAAGAGTATAACTAGTTAGTATTTATATAGGTATATGAATGTAAAAACTATATATATTAATTAAAATTATAATTGTGTAGCTTACATTGGAGTTTTAAAAAATATATTTTTTAAAAAGAACAAAAAATTATTTAGCAATTTTGCCACTTATTAATTCCCTATTTTATTTCTTGAACATTTTATACATATATGGTTTTGTAATATTGTCCTTCACTATTTACTTCCAACCTCTACGAGCAAAGGTGCATCACTCCATGACATCAATAACATTATATAAATCATTCTTCAAAATTATATAGTTCTAGAGATATATTACAAAATAATGGCTGATTTGGTTCCCACTCTGGCCCTAAAACAACTATTACACCTAACCCATCGACCGCTCTTAATGTCGTGTTTGGTTGATTTTTTTTATGGGTAATTAATATACGGTAAAATTTGGTAATTGCACATGATGGTAATTATCAAGTTATACTATGTTTGGGAAGATTGTGAATTAATATATGATAATGACAGTTATTTTGTTTGAATTGATATGATGTTATAATTGTATATTTAGTCAAATTACTAAATTTGTCCCCCATCTTTATTATACGTAATATTAAATAAAAAATGTAGAAAAAAAAAACTCATTTTAACTTTTAATTAAGTCATTTAACTTGTAAAATTATTTAAACTGTAATTTTTAATGAATTTTTTCTAAAAAAATTATAAATTAAATTTGATATGAAGAATAAAAATTTAATTTTTTATTATTTAATATAAAAAATTTATTTAATACTATAATTTTTTATTTATGATTATAAACTGAAAAAAAATTAACAAATTATCTGTTGCATAATATTTAATATTATAATTTTTATGACATAAATAAACTAAATAAATAAATTTTATTAAGAGTAATTTTCAGTTTTGCTAATTTGGGTAAGGGTAGTACGGAAATTAATAAATAATTGTGATGGTAAAATGAGAAGGAAAAATTTTAATCGTTAAAAACCACCAAATCGGTGGTTTAAAAATTTTTGAAAAAATAAAGAAATATGCTACCATTCAACAAACCATACTATCTATCTATTTAGAAGTGATCCAAATAAGACAAACTAGTGAATTACCGTACCACACATTAATGATCTATCAACCAAACACACTAAAAATCTCTCTTCTCATAAACATCACAATTTTTAAAATATTGCATACACTAAAACTTGGTAAGAAGTTATAAAAAATGTGAGCAAAAATATATAAAAATGATCAACAAATAAGGAAGAAGACAATGGTTCTATGACAATGAAACCTTAAATTGACCGCCTAAAAAATGAAGAAAAAAACAAGAATATTTATATGACAGTAAAAGTTATGCGCCTACTCTTCACCTGCACTCAATAAACCATTATTCTAACCCTAAATGCAAATGGTACCATTTGCATTAATATATATGTGTGTATATAAACATGTGGCACATACACATTTATACACGCATGGTTGGACTTACAGAACATTTTCACTCATCTTGTTTCATGAGCTCCACATGTCTCACTCTTCAACATCATCTTACAAAATGGAGCGTAAATGTTTATCTCTCTCATCCTATACATATACTAGTGCAATAATGTGGTTAGCAAGGCCTTAGTCAGGGCATTGACAATTTGTTCAAAACTATTAACCTGTTCCATTCTTAGAACTTCTCTCCCTTTATTTTCTTAAAATTAAGTGGCAATTCAATTTTATATGTTTTGTTCTTTCATGATACACCAGATTAGCTACAATATGCAGCACAACCTTATTATCACAATATAGAACTACTGCATGCATATGGTTAATTTTTAAATCTAGCAATAAACACTTCAACTGCACCACTTCACAACTCGTTGTTGCCATTACCTAGTACTCAACATTTGCATATGAATGTGTTACGTGCGTTGTTTCTTCAATTTCTTAGAAATTAGTGACTCTCTAAGAAAAATATAATATCATGTGATTAATTTACGTGTGTTAGGAAACTCTTTAATTGTTATTACAGTAAAAATTAATCTGTAAATCTGAGGAAGATGAGTAGAATAATTCTTGTATTGTGGTTCTCTTTACATATATAAGTCATTTATGGGCAACATTTAGGTATTAATCACATGATTGTTATATGAATTGGTTGAGGAGTTGAATGGAGTATCACTAGTTTGGTCATGTGAGAAATAGGTACACTAATCTCCTTACAAGTCTTTTAGACAACAGGATCTATAATTAATTTACTGAACCATAAATATTTGCATTAATGAGTTCATATATTTATGTAAATTGCATTTATAATATCATAAACATATATAATATATATCACTATATAATCATCACTAATTCATTTTATTGATTATGCATTTGTTTGACATATACGATAAAATCTAAATCAATGCAGTTTTGGAAAGTTACTTCAGTATTATACCATAAATAGCATGACCTTTAAAAAAACATATAATGGTAGCTACATATTATTTTTAATTTCTCTTGTCAATACATAATACAATGCAATTTCACATTTAGATACATGTATAAAAACCTTATAAGATTTAGAAATTATTAAAAAATCACCTTGTAATTTTGGTTATTTATAACATAATACCTTGTATTTTAAATATTGTAACATAAAGGATGAGGTTCAAAATTTTTCTATTTTAGTTAAATATTAATGTAGATGTGTCTTAAATTTTGGCGATATTAATCTATATTTTGAAAATAATTTATTTAGATTTTCTTTGTATTTATCTTTGAAAATATTTGATGTATATCCTATAGAGTTTTTATTTGTGAAGAACTCTGTTAGTCTCTCTATAAATAGATTTACTAACCTATTGATTATGTATTCTCAAATTACATAGTGAAATTCTTTCTTCTCGGTCTTACCCATGGATATAGGCACACTACCGAAGCACGTAAAATTCTTGTATTTTTTTCTTTCTGCTTTTACTTTGGTGTGATCGTGCATGCTTTAGAGATTAATTTTTCCAACAAGTGGTATCAGAGCTCA